AATTGTATTACTTTGTGAAAAGCAAATAATATTTTTGACCATGATACAATTATTGTCTCTAAAGGTTACAAATCTAGAGTCTAAAGACTTCATACAAGTACAGTTTGTTCCAGGCAAATGGTTTAACATCAACTTGTTGCAGTTCTTTCATTCATTTCTTCATCTTTTTCTCACAGACTATGACTAATTTTGATTTAGCTTTTTATTTGGGAGCAAAGGATGGGGGCAAAAAAAGTCTTTTAACCAGACACATTTGACTAAAAATGAAAGGAACTGTGTGAAATAACCTTTATGTGTAGGCAAAAAGCAGCCTGCTGTCATTATGCTTGCCAGATTACATCCCAAGAAAATGCTCTTTATATGCACTTATGATTAATTTAAATGGAGGAAAGTGAAGTTCAACACAGAGTACTTTGAGGATGAGTTTTATTCAATGTTTATTTGCAGAGCTGCCTGAAGAAAATGTCAACAAACTGTCTTATTTCTTAAGACTGCCTTCAAAAGCAAATTACACCTTTTACATAAGCAGAATAAATGCCTCCCTTGCCACTCCCAATATATTTGGCTTATTGTGTTTCAATTGTACCCCTGTACAGTTCTATTTTTCCAGCATACATCACCTCTTCACCCCATTCAGTGCAGCAAAATAAATGGTTTCTAATGGCAATGAAAATTGCCTTTCTAGTTATTAATTCATTTGACTCCAGGCAAATTTTAAGCAGAGATTCTCAGGGATTTATCTTGTCTCTGACTAGGAAGGCCTGATCCAAATGTCAGTCTGCTTAACAGGAGGGTACTGAGTTCAAACTGGCTTTCAGAATGAGGCTTTCAAACTTCAGTGACTGGAGAAGAGAAAATTGCACATATTTTTCTTTGATCTTTCAAAAAGACCAGGGAATGCTTTCATATGGGAAATGAGGTAAACAGGCAACTCTGTCTCTTTTGGAAGCCAGTCAGCCTCTTCCAGATTTCTCCCACCATTTTCGATTAACTGTGGTGTCAAGTGGTTAAGCAAGAAAAGGCTGAGAAAAATCCCCACGGTCCATGAGCTGCACAGCCCGCCTGCCAACCATCACCACCCAAAAACACACATGCAAATTTCCCTCTCTACACTTTCCTGTGAGCATTACTTTCCACAGAGGTGGGCAACAAAAAAGGATCTCAAACATTCTTGCAAGATTGCGAGACTAAATTAGGGGTCTTCTCTCTGCTGTACTACTTTTCCTCACACAGAAGCACAGACACAGTTCTTGGTTGCATTGTTGACTTGCTGTCTGTCTGTGAAGTGGGTTTAAGAAGTGAATGTTGGTTTAATTTTAAGGAAAATTTGTTTAACCTATGCTCCTACCACAGTAGTGGAAAAAAAGATCTGTAACATCAGCTGAAAGAGTTGGATCAGTAGGAACTCCAGCACACCCTTGCATGCCTGTTGTAGTAACCCACAAATTTTGAGACAATTGCTTCAGGGTTTGAGTGATAGGTCCTTAGTACAAAGAGTTTCATATGCCAGTTTCCCTCATTCCTGCTTATTCCTAGTTCCCTGCCATGCACAGCTAACTTGTCTGCTCATGGGGCCACAGCATGGATTGAACCTCAGAATTGATATGGCTTTTTGGAAAACAGCCCTCATTGTGCCTGAAAAATTTTATTTTAAAGCCAGGTTGGTTCAGAGTAGAGTGCCACAAGTGATAATGTAAGGAAGAGTTGGAGAGAGGGGGAAGGTGATGATAATGATTCCTGACAGAGCCAAGAAAGACAGAGTTACAACCCAAGACTAAGACTTGCAAAGATATCTGATTGGTCTATGTAAAATACACTATAGAAATATGACTTTTTTTCTAATGAGAAATGTCATTCATTTGTTTGCTCACATTTTCTATTGAAGGGATTGAAGAACCTTCCTTCTCAAAATTACAGGAGCTATGCTGACAGCTGTCCTTCCTGCCTTCCCATTTTTAGGAAAAAAATTTACTTTTAGAGGTTGCTTGTAAATGTGGAGACATCACCTAGTTTAAATTTTAATGCTAAATGTAAAAGGAGTTAAGTTTACAGGAATTAACTTTTTTTGTGTATTTTAAATCTGTAAGTCTTAAGTAAGGATTTAACAACACAATTTCAGATCAACCTTCCAAAACAGTAATCCATTGTAGACAAAGATAATTAGTAAGTTCATAAGGAAAGATTCAAACACAAAGCTTTTTATTATGTAATTGTTGATGTATGCCAGGCTTTTCTTACAATAGACTCAAAAGAGACCTATAAATTTATTTGCTGATGAGACTACCAAAGGAATGAAACTAATAGGTTTTTCATGTCTCTTTCTTGTTCTCCATCCAGCTTTGGAGAAGAGGATCCACCCTCTCCATGGAAATCATTCACAGAAGCCAAAGATCATATTGATCAGAATGATCATAAAGATCAGAAGAATCTGGTTAATAAGAAAATTAATGAATGAAAATTAGTTAAAGATAATGAATGTAGCTGGTCAGAACTACCTTCTATGTGTGAAAAGCAGGACTACCTTCTATGGGATCTTCTGGGATCCTATATCAGTAAAAATCTCAAGGAGAAGGATTCAAAATTTTTTTTCTGTTTGAAATAATACCTGTGAATGTAGGACACTGAGTTGAGTGGCATATTTAGAATGTTATAAGTTACAAGATGCCACAGTAAAATGAAAAATAATTACAACATAAATAAATAAATAATCTCTCTTTTGCTTATTTACTCAATTCCTTTTCTTTATCATTAATGTGTAGGGGTTTTTAAAGGTAGTTTAAAAATAATACAAGGGATAACATGTGCCACAGTCCTTAGAAAGTACCCTGAAGATCATACATTGCCACATTTCAAAGAAGTATCTTGATCAGCTAGTATTTTTTTTATTCTATCATAAATACCATCGGTTTTATTGTAATAAAACTTTTGATGTTTTACCTGGAGAGTCTATTCATCTCCATTTACCTGCAGAGTCTATTCATCATCCTTATCAGATTGTGCAACTAGATGATAGGATCATAAGATTCACCCAAGTTTAATGTTCTTTCACTGAAGTCCAAAATTATATTGCTGTAAATATGCTATGAATGAGGGGTCAGGTTTTAACAATGCTCCACCTAGCATATCCACTTTAATAATGGCAGAAGCAGGCACATGTTGTGCTACATATATAATTTTGTTTTTCTCCTTTTTCACATTCAGGTCTTCTCTCATTTGCTTCTCATCTTGCCCACAGCATCTATGTCCCACTCCAGCCCTTGTGTCCCTATTCTCTTCTTTCCAGGGCGGAGTACAAAGTTCCTCTGCTGTAAGATTAACATGCCATATGCTACCATCTGCTCCAAAGAGTGTCCTCAGAAAGTGGAAAAAGTACGTATTTTCACTGTGAAGAATCAGATTTGTACATAAGCATGACTATTCCCACACTGAATATAAAACCATCCCATCTCAATAAGGAGAAGTGTCAAAGTTGTTCATTATAAAAACTAGATGAGTCATCAAAAGTATTCGGAATATAAAATCTTATGCTATTGTTAGTAGCATTATTTTTGACCATGATGTTATTCATACATGTTTGTGAAGGGTAGGCTGCACACCTAACCATGCCAAAGGCATCAGCTGGTACAGAATACCCTCACTACATGATGTCACGTAGAGTGACTTATACACTGTTTTGAACACTGAAGTTTTAGATTAAACTGTTACTGTATTCATGCATCCCCATACAAAAAAAAGTTCAGCTATTTTCCAGCTCTCACTATCATGATGAAAACATGGTTGCAACAATCCACATGCAAATTCAAACTTTTTTTTTTTTAATACTGCAGAATAAGTTCTCTGCATATCTGTAGGAGGAAAGACATCTCGACATTATACCGTTGGACCAGCATCTCCTCAGAAGGGGCTCTGAATGGTATAAAGCCTGCCAGAGAAACATTCTCAGTGTGTGGGAAGGACAATCTGCGCTCTATTGGTTATAATAAAGCCAGCAGCATCTGCCACTGTTCAGCAACGTCACCACCACTACTCAATCTCTTAACATTTTTCATTCTCAGTTTGTATTCTGAGCCTGCCATTCAGCATCTGTCTATTTGAACAAAGGCAATGTAGTGAGGTCTTAAAACTCATCACAGAACTTAATTCCATAAAACTTAAATGATGGTGTCATTAGGCAAGGCCAGATGAAACTTGCTCTTAAGACAGTATCAAATTCTAGTGACTTCTAGCAAGATGAACTCAATTCTATCAGTACAAGGAATAATGAAATCAAGTGCACTTTTCCATAGCATTTCCTTTTAATCACATACTCTTCTGAATGCTGGGTAAAAGGCTTAAGCTCTATTTCACATAAGTAAAAAGAGGAAAGCAATTTAACAGACAATTCTGATTTTCTGGACATCTGATGGCTCATAAATGTGTGAGGGAATTCAAGGAAACTTCCCTTGTTCTGTCCCAAAACCAATGCCCATAGGCAGAGGAAGAAGTGGTGCAATACTCCACGGAGTACTTGCATTCAAATATTAGTCAGAATTGCAGGTTTTTAAGTACCTGTGCCACTCTGGCTCAGACATTAAGCAGGAACACATTCTGACTCAGCTACAGTTTCAAATGATAATTTAGCTCTCATCTGCACTAAGACCAGTTGCTTTCTCTCTATCCATTGATTCTAAAATAGTTATAATTAGTATTCTACATATTAGCAGATAAAAAAAATAAATAAATGTGATCTAAATTAAATTAAATTTGGAGAGTTCAGATCAAGCACTTTTACCAATGAGTGGCCCTAGAGCACACACTATCCCATGTGTTTCAGCCGTTAACAACATGATGCTATTTCAGACCCAGAGAGAGTATAAAGTTATTATTAAGTAAAGTAAAAGTCTATACTGTTGAGAGCTGGCTGGCAAAAATCCAACAACATCAAACTATCATCACCCATCAATTAGACCACATCAGAGTATTTCAAAGGCATTTTTATGTGGTAAAAAGCTACCTCTTACCTTCGGTGTGTACAGCAGAAACGTAGGTCCAGTTATAGCGTTTGACAATGTCCACCATGGCCTTTGCTTGCTGTGCATCAGAGGGCACCACTCTCATAAAATACTTGAACAGAGTTTTGTCACTTAGGTCCATGCTTGTGGCAGAATAAGCAATCTGAGGTATATTGAAAAGCTGCAGCAAGTTCTGGACCTGGATAGCAACTGAGCTGGAGCCAGGCCCGATGACACCAACAATGGGTTTCTTGGAGCGGAAAGACGATGATGATCCATCCACACATCGCACCATCCCTTCCTCTTCTTCCGAAGATATGAGAGAGTCCCTTATAAACTCAATGCTCTGCTCCAGAGCCACAGCAGAATGCCAGCAGGAGTCCCTTATTTCACATCCTAGTGTTATATTTGGCAACAGTGTGGGGTCCAAATTAATTCTGTCAAGGGTATGTAGCATTGCCTCCACTCTCTGAATACCATACTGCTCTCTTACCTCTCCACATTTCCTCTCATGAACTTTGTCAACAGTTGGTTGGTGATGGACAGAGAATAGAGCTCCAATGATAATATCACCAGGCATGTGTGCAACCACTCTTCTCTCATTTGCCTGTGCTGAAACCAAAAGCCCAAAGTTCCCGCAGACATCTTCCTTCAATAGCAGGATTGCAAGGAACAGCAAAAGGACCATTTTAGGAAATTTTAGGCTGGTAGAGACAACATGATGGAAAAAAGTTGGAGAGCTGGTGAAAAGCAGTTATCAAATCTTCTGGAGAGGAGCACTGTACTGATTGTTAACCAGGAGTTGGCATCTGTTCTCTAAGGAGTCACCATCATCTCCAAGTGGACAGCTATGCAGAGCTGCACATGAGGTCATAATCCTCATACCCTTCAAAAATTAATAAACAAAGAAAGATGTTTAAAATTATTTATAAAATCAGCAAAATATATCATATAAATTAAGATACAAAATCTTACAATCTTTTCTAAAATTGCACCTATTTCTACAGTGATCAATGCCTGTAATACATTGTCTACTGCATATGCTTCCTTTCATTGTTTTCAAGCTGGAAAACTTTATCTCACTTGAGTGTTTTACAATCTTGGGCTTGTACTTCTGCCGGTTTAAATCAACTTCTTTCTTTTTGACAATCGCATTTAAAAATTCTTTGGGGAAATGTTTTCAAATGAACAAAAGACTGGCAAGTATTTAGTTCTACAGAAGAAAGTTGTGTTGCCATTTCTAACACATGTCTTAGAAAACAACTCCCTTTAATTTCAGACATTTTCTATATCTCTAATATACATATGTCACACTAATGTACCCTGGACTGCACTCTATTATCCATTCCAGCACTAGGAAATTGCTGTTGACACACAAAGCTGTTATTCTAAGGAATGCAGAATGTATAAATCTGTTTTTAGTTTTCAAAATACAACGTGAAATAAGTTGGCTTTTAAGCAAGATTAAGAAAACTGTTTTTATTATTAACATTTATATTTGTTTTAAGCAAAGAAACAATAATTCTAAACCAGCAAAGCAATGAAATTATTTTTACCTTTTTACATCCTTACTTCAAAAATCATCAAAAAGCAATTTGAAAAATCCTTATACTGTACATAACCCTACAGACTCCACTGGTATCAAGAAGCTACATTTACCTATAGACTGAAATGCAATCTGCACTCATCTTCACTGTTGCTGAAGGATAAATAAATAAATAAATCAGCAAACACTTCCCATCTTGGGCTGTGGTTAATCTGTGGAACCAGAAAATATATTTGAGAATGCTCTGCACCTGGCAGTGATTTTACAGCAGAAGGTTTCGAGTTTTAAATATAGGCTTAAACAGTTGTTTGCCTGGTCTTGATCCCTGAGCACATAAATACCATCTCACCTGCCAGTGAATACATTGGTAGTACAGAAAGGTAAGTGCACTTTTATATCTAAGATGCTGAGCTACATAGGGAACCAATATGCCAAATTTAATTTTTAACAAAACAACAGCAAAATTCTGGGGAAGACCGCAGTCTCAGTTTTATTGACATAAATATTTTGATGCAATATAAAATATTTCCAATTTTATACATTTCAGACACCACCAATAATTTTATACATTTCAGACGCCACTAATCACTTCTAATCCATTAACGACTCTACAGGTCCTACATATTGTAAAGTAAGAGAAACCATCGCAATTGAAAATCTACCTCTGTTTCTTCGAGTTGAAAATCTCACAGGATTTTAATCTTGAATTTACTCCCCATAGCTAGTTCAGTCAGTATAGTGATACAGTGAAACTCTTCCTGATTCTGAAGATGAGACACACAAAGATAAAAATATTCTTCTGCTTGATGCTAGGCTTTCTCTTTTATTTTACCAAGATGTATAAATTATAGATTATTTTCACAGAGGAGTGAGTGAGCTTTAGTGAGTATTCCCAAATAAAACAAAAATCCTTAGAAAGAGGAAACAATTAATACAATATTTAAATGTTAATTGGAATATTAATAAGTTCATGTAATATTAATTTTAGAAACATAAAGTGACAATAATAAAATAAGTTTCAGGCAACTGTAAAACCCTTCAAGAAGGTTTGGTTTTTTTTATTCTGTGAAGAGTTGGGTTATCAATACTGCACTACCTTTGCACTACTGCACAACCCTTAGCCACTAAGGAATAACAGCAATTCAGTTCAGGTTAATTAGTCCCTAATTAAAGACTATCATTATTGCTTATGTCTTGCAATTATTTATTCCATCACTCTGAAGTTGGTACCATATAATTTGAAACAGTCAAAAGGATGAACTACAGGGGATATCCTTGTACAAGATCAGAGCTCTTAAATTCCTATACCTTTAATTAATTGAATGTGTTATGACTTCAAAATTTTTAAAATTATTTATAAACTTACCAACATTTGAACAGAAGTAGTACTCTGTTACTTAACACCATGGATACTTATTTTTCTGAACTTCTCAAATTAAGGCTACGTATCCAGAACACAAGTATATATAGACAAGTGCCAGCTCTGCTGCAGACTGTAACTGGATATACAATTAGATGTCTTTTTATAACCCATCTGCCTTTGAATCTGCAGATGTGCAAACAGAGAGAGTTCAGGGGCTTGGGGTGAGCTTGTGGTACAAAAAAATCTAATGCACCATTTTAATTCTGCTACTCATATTCACCAAATTTTTTGGTCTTGTGTTTATGGATTAAAAATTTCCATACAGGATATATGAGAAAGAGAGGGAAGGAAGGCCATTTTTATCTTCTTCCCTCCAAAGAACAGCTGTTTGCTCTTCTCTGCTTATAGTTGTGTCTATCAGTACAAAATTACAGGGTAAAGAGTGAGACAAAGCTGAAGGGCTCCTTCATGTTTCTGGTTCCACAATATTAGAATATGTCATAGCTGGGGGATTCCTATTTCTGAAAACAATAAAACCTTTCCCCTCCATGGCATCCAAGGGGAAAGAAGGGGCCAGATGCAGGCTGTGGCTGCTCCACAATTAATGAACTGTCTTCATTAGATTAAAGCTAAGGTCAATTTACTTGGGACTTAAAACTTTCCTAATTACACTGAGAACACTCCTTCTGTTTTATAGCATTGGGCTTAGGATTCACATCCAAAGCACCTGAAGTCAATATTTTCACAATGTAATGAAACAACTTGGAATTTATATTGACAAATATCTCAGTGTATTTGTGTTGCATAATAGAGATCTTGTTCTCTGGTCTTGCACTCATAAACTTAAGAACAGAATGGTTGAGTGGAAAGCCTCAACCAGTTCAGGAAGTTATGTGGTCCATTCCCTCTGCTTACTGTAAGTTCAATTAATACACATTTCTTAGCTTCATGTCCATATCTCTGAGGGTATGGAGAGACAGAAACATTTTTGGGCAACCTGTTTGACCACAGTCACAGTAAAAAAGATTATTTTTATATATATTTAAACAGAATTTCCAGTGTTTCAATTTGTGTTTATTGCCTGTCGTCCTTCCAATGGGCACAGCTGGCCATGCATGAGAAGATATCCTGAGAATAATCAGGTAACAAGTCCTATTTCAGGCAAAATGGTTGAGCAGAGAGCTGGTAGACTAAGCACACTAATAATATTTCCTGGAGAAAGTCTTCCTGAAGAGAAGATGGCCAAGGGAACTATTCAAATATACAATTTCACTGTGCTTCTCTCCCAAAAGAATCACATACAAGTCCCTTCATGTTTTGATTACAATTCTCTCTTACTACAGGCAGCTTATTATTGCAACCAGGATGAGTACTAAAATAAAATTAAGTAAAATTTCATAAGCTTAAATATAACTCTTGTTTAATTTGTTAGAGATAATCCTAAAGGGAATTTGACATGCCATAGCCCTCAGATTGAGAACAGACATATCAGCAGTTTCAAAGACAGTGAACTCCTGAGTGCATGCACAAAGTAATGGGAATTGCTTCCCATTTAACAATTTATCTGTTTTGTTTTCATTGATGGACAACATTCACAGCACTTATGATCACATTTATTTTTCACACTGTTCAATTTCTTCATCATCAATGTACTTATCCCAAATTGACGGAACCATAAGCGAAATGGAATCAAGTACTTAATTTCTGGCGTGTCAATGTTTCTTGCTTATTTCTGTTATGGATTTAACTATAAACTTATCCTGAAGTCACATGCTTTAACAATAGAGGACACTTTGGTCTCAGTCTTTTGCTCCACTAACCTGTGGCTCGGAGCAATTGCAGAAGAAGTAACACTGCCTATCAATCCTTCGTTCTGTCTCACCTCAGACAAAAGTTTACATACTACCCAGATGACTGAAGACACAGATCTGATGAAGCACTCAACATGTTCCTGTGACCTCTGTTCTCCCTGGCAATCCAAACTTCATGCCAGACTCTGTCAGAAGAAATTCTCAGCTGTTCCCTTAGGGCAGAGTTCCAGCTACTTCATGTTGAGGTTTAACCGAGTAGAAAATGAGCATCTGTAATATTCCATGAAACATCACACTAATCTTTTGTTATTAAAAATATATAAATCTTTCAACATTACACCAATCTCAAATGCATGTCCATCAGTACTTGCAGTCTGTAGAGACCAAAAGAAACAAAAATCTCTCTAATATCTAAGGGCATTATTAAACAACTTGATCAAAAAACAGACTGTGAGCAGCGGTTCACAAAGAGCTGATTTTCCACTGTATTTGTGTCTGAGACTTTATGCAAGGGATGCATCTGGCTGCTGTTAAGGGCTTCTGCTCCCGCAGGTGTGAGTGTGCTCAAAGCTGCAGGGTGACCCCCTTTCCTCCAGGGCTTACATTATTATAGCAGCGCCCACTAGCGAGCCCCCAGCGAGGCACCTGCGCTCTGCAATCTTGGCACCACGGCCCCACACAGGCAAAACATCCACCCGGCCCGGGGAAATTCTCTTATTTATTCTCATCTGTACCATAGGGGGCAAAAAAATTTAAAAGGGAGAAGCAACAACGCTTTCCTGTGGGTTTCTTATTTGTTATACTTCCATAAGTTTACAGCAGGCTTGTTCACTGTTTCTGAATCTTCAGGCAGATTTAAATAATAAAAATAAAACATCAGATAACTTAATTAAAAAATAGTGTTGTAATAGAACTCATGGCCCGGTCCAGGAAAGCACTTAGGAATATGTTCTGTGCTTCTCAGAAGAAGAATATTATTGGTCAAATGTCTGTAAAGACTTATCTAAAGTTTAAGGTTCTCCTTAAAGGATTTTTAGGATCAGAAAAATCACAAAAACTAATGTTCTTAAAATCCATTCACTTGTAGTGACAAAATTTACTTATATGTTATGTTTGTATAACTTTAAGCCATTGTACCAGCTGATCAAATGCTTTCCAGGCATTCATTTACTATACCTACCACAATTAATATAAATCCATCACAAATTAGATAATACATGTTGATATGGATCAAATCAGTATATCCCAAGGAATCAACCTATGTTTTGCCATCAGAGAAGACAAAACCATAGCAAGCAGCAACTGAATTTCTTGTTCAGAGTCAGTCATGTCACTTCTCTCACAGTAAAAATCTTCCAGTAGCAAAATATGGAACAGCCTTAGAAACAGTTACATAAAGAGAGCAATCTCTCAGCTCTTCTTGATTTGGACCAATATTAGGAGAAAGTACACCGAGGACGCAAAGCTTTGCTGAGTTTTGCTATGGCATTTCAAACTCCAAGCATTGCATCCAAACTATTCTGGTAATCTATCTCCCAATGTTCTGGAGAGGCTCATTTTGCAGAAGGACGTCCCCCCTACCCATTCCTCAGAGGTAATGCACTTTGGTCACACAAAACTTGACGCACTCAAATGGTATTTATTTGAAAATATTGAAATATGAGCACCCTGTTCTGAGATTCCTGCTGTGGTTTCTCTTTTTCTGTGCACAAACAAAACAAAACAAACAAAAAACCCAACACCAAGCCAACATTTTTCATTATATTATCAGTTCTGCAAATTCCAGTGGACATTAGATCAAGATCTTTGGGGGAAACCCCCCCCCCCAAAAAAAAAAAAACCAAAAAAAAAAAAAACAAAAAAAAAAAAAAAAAACCCTGACTTTATACAAAAGGAGAGACTACAAAACAGTTTTCCATACTTCCACTTAGAAATATGAAAATTCTAAGCAACAAGGGAGAATTTTCACCATTTGGTCAGAACGTCCACTGGAAATGACAGACTGAAGTGTTGATTTCATTTCTTCATAGCTAATAACCAGAGAATGCTTTAATTATCAACAAGATCCTTAGGAATGCCTGTAAATTCTTCCCCATGTTGTGTTTACACACACTTTCAGGTTGCTGAAACAATTTTGGCTTTAATATTTAGGTTCTTATTTTCCCATGGAAACTTGCAGTGATCTCTGTAATTTTGCCAAATGTACTACGTATTGCTGCTGTTACCAAAACCCACTTATACCATGTGGTCCAGGAACTAATAGACCAGGTGTGTTTTCATCTAAAATCCTTGACATTTTAACAATCAATAAAACTGTGTGGGATGGAGGAGGTGATCAAGAGAAGGCAATAGCAGCTTCAGAAAACATTTTCCAGCAAGTTGCAACAAGAGTGGTTATGGTGGGATGCCACTATGCCAGCAATGTCATAACTATGCAGGAAGATAAAATGACACAAAATCCATATAGGGACCCCAAAATACTCTGTGAACATTTTAAAGAATGATTAATACTGTGATTGTGTTACATAAATATTAAAATGTAGTCAAAGTATTTGAGAATTCGCAAAAGATTAGCATGCCATAGAAATGTATAGGAATATGGTAATCAAAAAAAAACGAGTCATAGGGAATTTAAAGAGCCTGGCAGTAAACTCCTCTATACATCTTTCCCTTTCGGGATTTAGAGTTGTGTATTTTTAAGATTCTCTGCCACTTTTGAGATGATCACCTACTTTGTCATCAAGACTAGGAGAAAGAAGCGTCTTGGCTCTCCCTGCACCGAGTCACCTCCTCCCCATCACCGTGAATGGCTTCTCAGGGCAGAGATGGGATGTGAGCGGGGCTGCGGATGTGACGGAGCCCCAGGGTGCGGGACTGGGCTGCCGGCGGGCAGCGGGCAGCGAGGAGCGGGCGCTGTCCCTGGTACTGAGCACCGCCCGCCGCCCGCGTTGGTCACCAGGCAGGTCTGGGGAAGGGGGAGACGAAAATAAAACAACCTAGAAATCAACCGGTGGCAAAAAATGCCACGGTGGTCACATTTGGCGGGCAGGATAGCATTTTTTTACTAATAAATGCATAGATCTGGGTCTTAGAGAAAACTGCTGAAGGAGAATAACTCCCAACATTGCCACCTGCGCTGCCACAACTAAGCGGCTCTGCACACAGACAGACATGCATGTGTGCATCCACACTGGTGCTTAGGTCTCTGTCTGCATGCTCGGCTAGTGCTATCGCTGTCCCCTTCAACCCATAATGAATCATTTTTGCACGTGGGGGGATTAGCTTTGATTATTAAATAAGTAACAGACGGGACTCGCTGAGCAGAGCCAAGTGATTTGTCCCAAGGTCACACAGAAAAGTCTATGGCTGAGCTAAGCCTGGCTGTCTCTGGAAAACAAATACATCCCCATTTCCATTACACCTTCCTAGCAAGACAAATCCCCACTTGTGAGCAGAGGAACTATATCACACTTCACCAAGCCCAGGTATGACAGTACCCCCAGTCCCTGCAGCCCCACACAAATCATGCTCCTCGGTAGGGATCAGTGCCAGCTGCCCTCCAGCTCCCTGACCCCGTGATGCCCCTGCAGCCCCTAGAGAGGTACCCCACCAGTTGGCTTGCTGGTGCCCCAGGAGTTGTGCTAGTCCTCCATCAACCAGGGCACCGAGCAAAAGCAAGAAGGGAAGCAGGGGGGGAAGAGTCCCTCCTTCATCCACAAGGTTTCTGTCCACAATCCAGGGCACATAAAGACCCTCTCCCAACCCACAGCATTACCTTGTCAGTGGCAGCAAGCGCTTCTTCCCACAGTGATGGCAAAATAGTCCTTTTGGTGGCAATAATTAAGACAGGTAGGGGTAGGCACCTCCTATTTTCAGCCACGGCAGAGATAGCACTCCTCACACAGACCTTCTGGAGCTGAATAATCCTCAAATGCCTCTGCAAAGATCACCAGCAGGTGAGCCCCACTCGGCTAGCATTGTCACTCCTCCAGCTATGGACACATCCTATTTTCTTCTGATCACAGGCAGTTGCTGAGGACCGAGTACCCTACCCCCGCGAATGCATGCACATACACGCCATGCAACACGCTGTTCTCTCAGCATCGCCCAAATCTCATTTGCAAGAGGCGTGAACGGTGCCTGGATTTAAGGGAGGGGGAAGGCATGAGGAGGAGGAATAAACAAACAAACGATGAAACAACAGATGGGTCTTTGCTCTCTACCACCACAGCCTTGGTCTTCCTAAATACTTGCTGCAGCCTGACCCACCTGCTTAAACACCTCTGCCCTTCCTCACATTTGCCATCTCTCTATGTTTATAGTGAGCTAGCCCTGCGTTCTGCCCTGTGAGGAAATCTCCCCAGATCCTCTGAAGGTTGTAAGGTCCCCCTACAAAGCGACACCTCTCTCCGGCACTAGGCTCTGGCAAGTAAGAAAGCAGTAATCAGTTCAGAGCAGCATCATCCAAAGGCAGGGAAAAAAAAAAAAAAAAAAAAAAAAAAAAAAAAAAAAAAAAAAAGCGGTTTAAAACGGAGTGGCAGGGAAGAGTTTACCCCTGCGGTACCGGCGACCTTTTGCGAGCTGCCCCCCCGAAGTTTGCTGTCTGTCCAGGTCGCGGTGCCGGGGTCCCGGGCACTCCGCTGCCGCACCGGGCTGGGGGGCGAGGGGGCTTTTTGTATGGGCGAGCACCGAGCTTCAGCGCAACTTTTTAGTGCCACCAAGTGGCACAGATCCCTCCAGGAAACCAAGCAGCATGCCAGCCTGGGCTCTGCCTGCTGCTCTCTGGCAAAGGGAGAGAAGGGGATGCAAGAGCAGCCACCAGCCCTCTACAAAAAAAAATGCACACGCAGAGACGAGAATATCAAGCAAAAAGGAGGGAAGGAAGGACAGGTTGCCCTCTCCAGCCCTCGCCCCTTCCCTCGCCTGCAGGGTGACAGCACTGGGCACGGCGAGATGAGGAGCGGTGCCCCCGCCAAGGGCAAAGCGAGCTGCCAGCCCCTCGGGCGGGATGTGTCCCCTGCTCCTGTCCCCGCGGGCTGCCCCCGCTCCTCCCCACGGCAGGTGTTACCTGCAGCCACCCCTTCCTGCCCGGCCTTCTGCCCTCGGGCATCCCGAGCTCTCTGGACCCAGAGGCTCTGCGGTTCCCTGCCAGCCCTCTGCTTCTTCAGCCAGCGTCCCTGGACCGTATCTGCAGACCTACGGACAGGCTTTTTATTTGCCTACATTCTGCCCACAAGCTCGGTACCCTCCGAGTCCTTCCGCTTGCCTGCCCTCCCACAAATCCCACAGCAACACTCTCCCTGCTGACTACCTGCTGCCCGCAGAGCGCGTTTACCTTTCCTCGGTTAACCCTTCCCTTCGGAAGCCAGCCGAAGCTTCACCTTCTCCTCCGGTGTCCCTGCATTTCCCCAAATCCTCTCCTCTCCCTCTCTCCCCCGTTTCACGGCTCAGCCCCGCGCACTCGGCTCCTGCTTCCATTCACCCCCAGCCATCCCGCACGGCACCGCTCCGCTCCGTTCCTCCGCCGGGCTGGGCACGACGGCTCTGGGCGCAGGGAGCGGGGTTGTGGCCAGGCGTGGGTGGGTGCGAAAGGTCCGAGGTAGCCTGAGCCCTGACAAACTCAACACATCCCTGCAGCCCTACTGCAACAACAAGGGAGCACCAAGGAAACATCACAACACAATGCCAGGCAGAGATCATGTCTTTATTTAAAGCTGTTCTTAGCAAATAAACAAATAAATAAGGTAATATGGATTAATAAATAAATAATAAAGCAAAATGCCATTTAAGTAAGAGCTGATCTGGCGTTTAAAAGGCTGCTGATCATTTACCAGGCTGTAGTTGCAGGGAAGGATTAGCTCACGCATCCATTTTCAAGAATTAACAGCCTTTCTCTGCCACTGCTCCACAGCTTGACACTCCCTGCTGGTTCTCCCCTCTTTGAGTTGCTGCTTAGAATATTATCTCTTTTTATTTTTTTAAAGCAGCTGCTGAATGACCCAAATCCCAGCCACTACATGATGTGGCTCCCCCAGTGTGACTGCATTGCCATGTCCAACCTGCACTATGTCCTCCTCACGCCCCTGCCCCCCTGAGTTAACTTTGATAAAGTGGCTAGAACACAGAAGAAAAGTCTTACTATGACTCCATCTGTGCCCCTAATTCCCTGTGATCCCTTTATTGCTGTCTCTCTCCCACCAGATTACCAGCTTGACTGCTTCTTTCATCTCAGATTGTGAAGGATAGATATCCCGCATGTCCTTACCAGGTGTGGAATATGGTCTCTCCTTCACATTCTCCTTCAGTCCCAACCAGGGCCTGGCTGGGAGCCCATCACCTGGCACCTGCTTCACACCCTTACCCAGCTCTCCTGGCTCCTTCAGTCACGGAAGCTCTGGGAAAGGCCAGGTCTTAAGCAGAGGGCACTGTGAATGTGTGTGACTCTAACTCCTTTTTTTCCTCTATACAGTTCCAAGAGCTTCTGTGCAGGTGCATAAAGGAATCAAGGTGGGTTATTACATGACAGGGTACATCCCAGTAGTTGCCATTTCTGTCACTGCCCTGGTGGGCTGACAGGCAAGGAGCATCTTTCCTCTTCCTCCCTAGACCCATACTTCTCTTAGACATTCATCTTTCTGATTCTTCACACTTCTCTCAGACTCTCTTCTTTCTCATTAACCATGTGCTGTGAAATGGCTAGAAGGTCAGAAGCCTGGAGACAGAGAAGAAGAAGGGACATATATTTGTGGAAAAGCACAAACAGACAGTAAGAGGGGAGGCTTGTGTCTGTAGAAAGGAATGGTGAGACCAAAAGCAAAGCGGTATTGCTCTGCACAGGGGTGTGGAAGGAATCAATGTGGGATGAATTGAGGCAGAGGGGCGGTGCCATTGCTTTGCTGGGCTGTCACAGCAGTTGTCTGCCTTCCCCTGGGACTGTGTGTGTGATGAGGGAGTTGGAAAGCAGGCACATCTCGCTGGCAGCAGACAGCCAGCTGGCTGCCAGGGAGCAGGGTGACCCCGGCAGGAGATGGAGAGCATCCCCACACAAGCAGGACACACAGATCTAGGCAGAAGCAGCCACAGGGGATGCAAAGCAGCTCCTACACACACATCCCCAAGGACTCCCCGTGAATCACAGCCCAGAGTCAGAGTTCATTGTGCCAGATGTTTGGAGCAGCTGGATCAAAGATTAAAGGAGGCAAGCAGAATGGATGGGGGTGGCCATGGCATTTGCATTCCTAATGCCTCTCGTTGACCCTTTAAACGGGGTCCCAATAAATACAGACATATAAAAGGTCCTTCTCCTTTGCTCTCTTTCTCCCCTTTCTCCCCTCCTCCCTTTCTATCATTCTCAACTATTTCACAGAACCCATAAAATTAGCTGCTGTCTTCTCTACTGATGGTAGATTCAGTTTCCCCTACTACCAAATTTTCCCTCCTATTTTGATACTATTTTTAAAGTTAACAAAAAGAAAGCTTCCCCTTCCTGTTTGCAACATCACCAACAAAAGATAAATAAACTGGTACCTGAATAAGGAGACATAATGACTACAATTTACAAGCCCAGTATTGGTAATACTCATTACTTTTGTGGCAGTAGCACCTATAAATACTCACACATTGGCAAGGCTGTACATTTGCTGTATCTCTGCACTCTGAGGAACTTGTACATACAGAAAATTGCAGGGGCAAAAAGAGTATGAGTAAGCCTCTGGTATAATCAGTGTCTCTGAAGAACATCCTAACCACAGTAACATTTTAAGACAGAAAATAAGGAGGCTAAGGGAATAATAATTTGGATTCTTCTCAGTTCCAGAATTAATAAACTTTGTGGGAGACAGGCAGCACAATCAAAGTGTGGACAAGAAGGTGCTGTTTTATTGACCAAATAAGCCAAGTGTCTGCTTTCTTGCAAAGTAATCTCTAAAACAAAGAAAAAAAAAAGGAAAAAATGGATAATATATATTTGTATTGTATGTATATTATATGTTTATATATGCACATATATATATATATATATATATATATATATACATGGCGGTGTTTGCTCCTTTTTGTATAATATGGAATAATCCAACATGCTTATAGCTCATGACACACTTAAAATCAAGAAAATTACTCTTGCCTCCCTAGCAAGTATACTAATGGTAAGTCTGTTATGTAGGAAACAGGAAAAGGTGCAAAGTATGATGTGCAACACATATTAAAAGAAAATCTAGCCTGCTAGGGTATAATAATACTTTTAGTATCCTTATCCTTACTTGGTGTTGTTCTTCCAGCCTTGAGGAATGCTAGGGCCTGATTTTATATGATTCTTTTGTAGAGATTTATGTATAAATTTCAAATTCACCTGAGAGTTCTCCTAGTTTCAGCTACCATAGGGTTAAGTTCTTCTCAGTGGCAGTTGCACTGCTGTGTTTTGGATTCAGAATGAGATATTTTGAAGTTTTGCTAAGTCATGTTTATCCTAAGTCAAGGATAGTTTTTCTTGTCTCATGCTCTGCCACTGCATAAAAGAAACTGGGAGAGAACATAATTGGGACAGGTGACATGAACTGACCAAAGGGATATTCCAAACCATAGAACTGTCATGCCCAGTAGATAAACTGGGGGAGTTACCCAGAAGGGGAACAAATCTGGGGTCAGGAATAGGGGTCTGACATTGGTCAGCAGATGGTGAGCAACTGAATTGTGCATCACTTGACTTTTCCCAAATTGTTATCATTATTATCATAATTTACAACAATTACCATATTTTACTCGACTTTTGATTATTAAACTGTTCTTGTCTCCACCTACAAGTATTATTTTGACTCTCCTCCCCATTCCACCAGATTGAGTGTAGGGAAGAGGGGGGTTGAGTGACCAGTTGTGTGGTGTTTAATTTCCAGCTGAGCTTAAACCGCTACAGAGTGAATACAGGAATATTTTCTTTTTCAGGGTGCAGTTCATGCGATCTACCTTAAACATTTTGTTTAGGATGACAAAGAAGGAGACATTAAGATGCATCCACTACTCATCAGAGATTTCAAAGTGAATCTATTCCTCAGAGGTATATCCATAGCTTGAAAGCACCAGTGTGCTATCAAGGAATCTGACTATTTTTTCACTCTTGGTTGTGCATAGGTGTAAAAGAGACAGTGAAATACCGAGTACTTTAAAGACTGTTCTAGTTATGTGCAGGGAAGCAACCCAGGTCTTAAAAGCTGGGAAAAGTCAGAAACTCCAAACTGAACCTAGGTCTGAAATTCCTTCACTGTCATTCAGGCCCCAAGTAAGGATTCTAGATTTAGATTTAGAATCTAAAATAAGAAATTCCTATAAGATTTTGTTTGGCCTGACTCTTATGCTCATCATTGGAAAACAGGACATGAGAGAGGAAGACAGAATACAGAGCTCTGAGAAGGATGCTGCAAGAAGAGTGTAAAAGTGGAACAAGAATTTA